TTTCCTCTGCAAAAATACATAACCTGTTACTTATACCTCTCTCTGTCTCTGTCTCTCTCAAGAACAGTAGCAATTTTCTACAAGTAATGGTACTGGTAGCACTATTAAAATATAAAGCACACACCACTGGTTATCCTACAAAGTTCTTAAGTCTTATCTTGATTCTATGGCAGCAGAGGAGTCTAAATGTAAAATATCTAACATATTCTGAGCCCCTTCTAGCTTGTTAGCAGTTACCACATTAAATTTGACTTTTTTTTTTTTTTTTTTTTTTTTTTTTTTTTTTTTTTTTTTTTTTTTTGTCAAATATGATAAAAAGGATCGTGAAAGTGGTAGTATGACCAAGAATTAATAATACCCCACCCTCCCCACTCCCTAGGCTGCAAAAGTAAATGCACTTAAAATGAGAATTATTGTCTTAGAGGCATCCTCATTCCTTACTGGCAAGCCTGAACAAATCATAAGTCTTTCTGAAGCCACATGGGATGTACATTAGGATATAATATTCAGTAATACAGTAAAAAGGATGTGGCTGATATTGTAAACAACTTACACCAACACGATATTTCAGCTTTCAACAATGCTTTTGTCATTGTGGCTTATAAGAATTTCTTCATTCATATATGAAAATCTCATTATTTTATAGAATCCATATGCACAGAACATTTAATGTAAAGTTTTACATATCACCAACTATCATCAATTGCCCATGTCTTGCTAGAAAGTTATGCATTATAGGAAACTAATGTAAAATAGGCAAAGTGAGATATCAAACTGATGTATCAAGTGAAAATTAAATAGAATATTTGTGGGTACCATCTTAAAGGCACAAACTTACTGCAAACCTAAATCTTCCTTCTTTAAGGTATGCATGAAAATGCATTGTGTTTGTTTGACTCCTTTGGGGCTCTCTGGAAAGCCTAGGGGTGTGAGTGCCCCCTTCTCCCCCACCTTAAATGGCACCCTTGCACACACACACACACACACACACACACACACACACACACACACACCACACACACACACACACACACACACACACACACACACACAAACACACAACACACGCAACACGCAACACGCAACACGCAACACGCAACACGCAACACGCAACACGCAACACGCAACACGCCACACGCAACACGCACACACGCAACACGCAAAACACGCAACACGCACGCACAACACACGCACGCACGCACACGCACGCACGCACGCGCACGCACGCACGCACGCACGCACGCACACGCACTCAAACACGCACGCACACACACACATGCATAAATAAATAAAAGAAAAGAAGGAAATGCTTACCCAGTTGAACCAAAAATTCCCTCTAAAACATCACTTTGCGACTGAAGAATTTCTCGATCTGTAATGCATTTAAAAATAAAGTACTTATTCCAGTTTATCAACTTCCTCTCATTCATCAACAATATTTTGCACAGGTGTATGGTGCAAATGCCAGGAACTGACAAATGGCATTTAAAGTATATATCATACATCCAAGATATGATGTTTTAAGTCATGAGGAATCTCTTAACATCAGTGGGTGAAATGGACAAACTAGTCATACGTCCAACCTGTTCCTTTCAATCAAATGATGATCTGGCATTAGTCTACTGTTATACTTGTGCTGTGAGAAGTTACCGAAAATAAATTGTGCGTGCACTGAGACAAAATAAGACTGCATATCCCAATGCAAATATAAAGTATTGAGAAAAACATGGTCATATTAAGTTCATTACTTCTTTGCAATATCAACTAATTTGCACTGGTTCCTGAATTTGTTTCATTAAATTTTACGTACAGATGTCTCCAGAAGAGCTTAATCACCAAGGAGGCAATTACAAGGCCTACCTATCCTCACTTATTTGCCCCATTCCTTGACTTTTCTGAAGTTTTACTAATGTTCTCATTACAACAATTATTATTACTGTCTTTTCTATAAATTTCAAAGAATGACGTTAATAGGTAAGGTCAAGTTGGCCTAGTATCTGATAACTACTTGTGTAGCTATCTGTGTAAGCAAAATTAATATAACAAAACAGAGGACAATGCATGTACATATGTACTACTGGCATAAACAGGCTAGTATGTAAAGGGGAAGAAATGTGTACTTTTACAAGAGGGTTTGACATTTAATTTTAGTCTATCTTTTTACAAGTTAGGACTAACCAAGGTACCAGTTTACTTTGTTTCTCATGATTTAAATAACTGCTCAAAAATCCTGTAAAGTTTAAGCCATGCCAGTGTAATACACACTATCTAATTAATATCAAAATCTTATATCTAAGATTTCATATAATGACTTCATCAAAGCTAGAAGGACGAGGACTAATTAGGTCAATCATATATAACATATATGAAACTTACATCTCCAAACCTAACCCTGCAACTGAACAAACCAACTGACCAAAAGTTCGATAAGAGTTGATCCTCTCCCTGGCAGGCATATCCATATTTGGACTACGTCTATATGGGTGAGTTCTGTATGGACTACCCCTGCTTGGGCCACCCCTCATGGAATTATCTCTGGATCTGCTTCCCTGAGTATGTTTGCTTCCACAGGAGTTGTCTCTGCTGGGACCACCTCTTAGTGTACTGTCCATACACTGGCCACTTCTGTAGGGGGAATTCCTTTGCTGGCCTAAGTATGAGCTGTCACTCTGTGAATCACCACTGCCAAAACATATTGCAGGGACAAGTGTTGTATACATAATTTTTGTGAGCTATATTTCATAAAACATGGGTACTGGGTGTATTTAAAATCCTGAAAGGATATTCAATGTTTTCATAAGAATAATAGTAAAAAAGATCTTATTTTATTTCACATTATGATTTCTAATTCTTAAAAATCAAAACAAAGGAGTCAGCCTCTTCTTACCTAAGGAAAGGATGATCTACCGAACTGTCAGCTGCATCTGCATTATCATACTGCCAATCCCCTGAGTTATGGTTGTACTGATTGTGGCTAAACTGATGATCCTTTCCTGTTGAAATTAATGACAGTTCATATTACCATTTCATTCACTGTTGTCAACTGCAAATCATTTCTATATGTATATGTACATGTATGTTTGTAAGTATATGCACACAAACGCACACACACACCCACGCACGCACCCACCCACCCACACACACACACATATATCTATAAACATGCAAATACAGGTCGACCAGTTTTTCTGGGGACTGAAGAGTGCAAAAGAATATTATATGATAACTCATGGAGTTAGCATACTTGGCATTAGCAATCTGATTATTCAAAACGTGGTCCGCCTCCCTCGAAATTTGGAAATTTCCACACCTCTCCTGGGCACATGCACAGTAGGGTCTGAGGCTAGGACTATTCAATACTCCTAGACATGACTTACCTCTATCATTCTGCAAATTCACAGCACTCTGTTAAAGAAATAAACAGAAAGAAGTTTTAACCCAAAGTCAATGCTGATTAAGTAAATAAATTAGGAAAATATTAAGATTCAGAAAGTATAACACAGTCACTAACTAGAAATGTGTGTGTGTGGAGGAGGGGGTCGGTGGGGGTTGGTGGGGTGCATGTATTATATTATATCACAACTTAATTACCTCTGTGCGCTTGTTGTTATTCATGTTCCTAGGACCAACCTGTGAAAGAAAGAAGCTCTTAAAACATTCTTCATTAAGGCTTGACTCATATAATCCCATATAGACCAAATGGAAATCTGTAAACATTCAATACTAATGACACTAAATATCATGTTTAAAACTCAAAAGTAGTGTAAAATCATAATGTTTATATAATATAATGTACCATCATGAAATATTCTGGATAACTTGTCAAGTACCTACATTGAATCATCTGGCATTCACAAAATACTGGTAAACAGTTCCATAAAACACAAAGTCACACCATACTTATCTAAAAATATAAATGTAGTTACTCAGTACATAAGTATGTCACACACACTGGTCTCTAACAACAAAAAATAAATTGACATTTACACTATATCACTTAAAAAATACATGAATGTGTTCAATATAACATGCAAAATCAACCAACTTCCACTTATATATTCCAACAAAGGTAAGCTTGTAGAACTCCTTGACACTTGATTGTTAAATAAGGAACTAATCAAGCTCTCACCAGCCAGAATGTAGATGGCGGAGGTGTGCTGATCTTTACCAAACTGCAAAGCAGTGATGCTGCAGCTTGATACTACACATCTATTAATCTGGGCCTCCAACATAAATCAGGGTAATTGTCCAGAATAGGGGTGTGTTGGGAGACTGTGGGAGGATGGGGGGTAGAGGGAACTTGTGGAGGAGGAGGAGGGATATCAGCAAATACTTTATTTAGTGTTATATTGTTTATATTTATTTCTTGAGCTATTTTGTGAATTTTACATGTTTTTGGTTAGTGCATGGTTTTCCTTGCCACAAAAACAGTTTGGTTCATAATTACATTCATTGAATGTGTGGCTAAAGCCACTACAAATACATTTGTCAATTTCCAAGTCATTGTACCGTGACAATATCTTTGACATTTATAACATTTAGGAATTAAGAAAGTATACTGCTGAACTTGGTATAAAATACGACCAATTGCCACTCTTTCTGGCAGTTTTCCTTGGAAAATAATTCTTAAGGATTTTGTTGAAATCCATTTTTCATAATCTTATTTCTGTTTTTCTTGTTCATTCTCATTACATTAATGAGAGAGGAATTTTATTCCCCAATGGTACAGACTTTTTCTTTGATACTTTCTGGATCCCAGTCTTTTTCTACAGGGACTATAGTTTCGTAGGAATGCCTGAAGTGCCAAATAATGGATTGCGATGATTTTGGTATCAATGGATTAAATTAACTCTCTAGTATCCAAATAATGAATTTTTGCAGGATACTGGCTGGGTAAATTTACACTATAGTGACTATAGTTTCGTAGGAATGCCTGAAGTGCCAAATAATGGATTGCAATGATTTTGGTATCAATGGATTAAATTAACTCTCTAGTATCC